TGGGGCTGGAAACCCAGGGGGGGAGCGTGGATGGGTGTGGGGAGATGGGGGGCGTGTGGGTGATGGGGGGAGGCCTGGGGTTGTCAGTGGTGGTGGACCCATAGGGGCGTGGGGAGATGTGGGGCTGGGGCCATAGAGGCAGTGGGGCCATGGATGGTTGTGGGGATATGAGGGGTGATGGGGGGCAATGGGGGGAGATGTGGGGCTGTCAGTGGCCGCTGGACCCATAGGGGTGTGGGGAGATGTGGGGCTGGGGCCGTAGAGGCAGAGGGGACATGGATGGAGGTGGGGAGATGTGGGGCTGTCAGCAGCTGTCGGACCCATAGGGGGCGCTGTGGGACCATGAATGGATGTGGGGTGATGTGGGGTCGGACCCATAGGGCTGTGGGGCCATGGATGGACATGGGGACGCCGTGAGACAGCCGAGGATGTGGGGCGACCCCCAGGACACGGCAGAGACCCCGATGTGGGGCAGAGCAATAAAGGGGTCCGGATGTGTGGGGCACAAGAATGGGGTCTGTGTGTGTGGGCATCTGTGGGGTTTGGGGTCTGTGTGGGGCGGTTTGGGGGGGGTCCCTATGGGGTCGCTGTGGGGCTGGGGGCCTTTGTGGGTCCCTCGGAGGCTTCTTGCGGTCGCTGCAGGGTTCCTATGGGGAACCACGGGACTCAGGGGGCGTGGTCACTTCCGGCCCCGCCCACCCCGCGTGGCCCCGCCCCCATTTCCGTTTCTGGGCGGGATTTCCGGGTAATGACGTCACAGCCCGAAACTCCCCTCTGCCCCCCCCCCACCCCTATGGGCCGCGATGTGGGGCAGGCAATCTATGGGTCACCCAATCTATAGGGCCGCCTATGGGGCGCCCATTCTATGGGGCCATTTTTTGGGTGCCAAATCTGTGGGGCCGGCTATGGGGCTCTCAATTCTATAGGGCTGTCTATGGGGTGCCTAATCTATGGGGCCACCTATAGGGTGCTCAATCTATAGGGCCATCTGTGGGGCCCCCAATCTATGGGTTGCTCAGTGAGGTCATCTCTAGGGCCATCTATGGGGCCATTTGTAGGGCCATCTATGGGGCCACCTATGGGGCACCCAATCTATAGAGCCACCTATGAGGCTGCCTATGGGGCACCTGACCCACAGGGCTCTCAATGGAGCCGCCTATGGGGCGCTTCCTCTGTGGGGCCGCCCCCCCCCAGACCCCCACCCCCCCCCAAACCCCCGGCCCCGCCCCGTGATGTCATCGCCCCGCCCAGTGACGTCACCGCCCCTCCCGTGGGGCAGCTCCCCCTTTATATGGGGCAGGGCAACCGCCGGACCCACAGCGCCCATAGGGGATAGGGGACCCACGGGAGACACAGGGCCTATAGGGGATACAGGGCCCCGCAGACCCATAGAGCAGCCCCATAGGATCCCTGGGACCCATAGCAGCCCCATAGCAGCCCCATAGCACCTTCCAACCCCAGGACCCCCCAAAGACCCACCCTGCCCCATTAGGACCCCATTAGGACCCCTCCCACCCCATTGGAGCCCCATTAGGACCCTTCCCATCCCATCAGGACCCCACCGGACCCCATTAGGACCCATCAGACCCTATTAGGACCCCATTAGGACCCATCAGACCCTATAGGAACCCCATTAGGACCCCTTCCACCCCCTTAGGACCCATCAGGATCCCATCAGACCCCATTAGGACCCACCAAATCCTATTGGGACCCATCAGGACCCATTGGATCCCATTAGAACCCCTCTCACCCCCTTAGGACCCACCAGACCCCATTAGGACCCACCGGATCCTATTGGGACCCACCAGACCCTTTTAGGACCCCCTTGGGACCCATCAGGACCCCACCGGGACATCGGAGCCGATGGCCAACAGCGCCCTGGAGCTGCTGGGCCTGATGCTGGCGCTGGGGGGCTGGGGGGCGGTGGTGGCGGCCACGGCGCTGTGGCAATGGCAGACCAGCACCTACGCGGGGGACAACATCGTGACGGCCGTGTCCACCTACACGGGGCTGTGGGGCAGCTGCGTCAGCACCAGCACCGGGCAGCTGCAGTGCAAGGCCTACGACTCCCTGCTGTCGCTGCCGGGTGAGTTGGGGGGCGATACGGGGCGGTTATGGGGCGCCGTGGGGTGGTGGGGGGCGGCTGTGGGGGGCGGGGGGGCTGCCGTGGGGATATGGGGGTGTGGGGGGTTGTGGGGCTCTGCAGCACAGGGTGATGATTCCCTGCTGGCGCTGCTGGGTGAGTTGTGGGGGATATGGGGTGGTTATGGGGTCATATGGGGCAGTTATGGGGCTGGGGGGTTGCTATAAGGACATGGGG